CATGCTTTCTTGAGTTATTATGACTCAAAATTACCCTAAACCCGTTTTTCAGGTTTTGAAAAGAAGATGTCACAATTAATGAAGAGCCTGAAAAATGTGAGTGGAATATATTAGGTGGCTTTTTTCCCCCCTAACAATATAAGGGAAGTGAAACCAAACAACACTGAATCTTTAGAGAGTTGCCATGCTAATATTAGATGATAATTAAAAAAATTTTAAATAAGAGATTCATCTGGCCCTGTGGACGAGTGTTGAGTTAGAAATAATCTCACCCTGGCTTTTATGGTCCTAGATGGTAAGATTTCAAAATCCAGAGGGCAGAATACTTATAGAAACCTGAGGAAAACCTAAATAAGAACCTTGTGAAGTCACTAACTATAACCATGAGATTATAGAAGTTTGCTAATATTGCTTATTATATTATTTATGAGAGGAAATAGTGTACGTTTATGTGTGAATTTTTGTTTTTCATTTTTCATGGTTACCCTAACGAAACAACAGCTAGCCCTGGTGGCCTAGTGGTTAAGAGCCGGTGCGCTCACTGCCACGGCCTGGGTTTGTCTCCTGGTCAGGGAACCACACACCCGTCTGTCTGTCTGTTGTCACATTGTGGTGGCTGCTGTTGCCATGATGCTGAAAGCTGTGCACCAGTATTTCAAATACCAGCAGGGTCATCCATGGTGGACAGGTTTCAGTGGAGCTTCCAAACTAAGACAGACTAGAAAGAAGGACCTGGACACCCACTTTGGAAAAAAATGGCCCTGAAAACCCTGTGAATAGCAGCGGAGCATCGTCTGATAGAGAGTGGGAACGGGAGAGGACGGCGCAGAAAGACCAGCCAGGGTTCCTCTCCAGTGCCCACAGGGTCGCTAGGACTCGGAATCCACTCTACGGCACCAACAACAAAACAAAACAGCCATGGTTAGATATCTACAGACTGGAAATATAAACTCCGGAATAATGGAAGCAACGAGGTTCTTATGCAAGAGTGATGTGGGCGTTCAGGTGCAAGAGTTTCTTTCAAAAACAGGCTGGCAGCCGCCCCTGCCCTCGCGGAGGCAGCCCCGGGGATCGGAAGGCTGCGGCGGCCCACAGTTAGCCTCGTGGCCGGCAGATGGCAGCACAGAGAGCCTGTCCAAGTCGCCGCGGGCTCCGAGCTGAACTAAGGGCCTTCGAGCAACGGCTCAGCGAGCTACGATAGCAAGCGGCAGAGAGAGCTCTTGGTAAGTGAGTAAGCCTCTTGAAGAAGTGAAAAAGGCCAAGCTAACCAGCAGTCTTAGGTCTTTTCTTGGCAAAAGCCTATTATCTTTCACGATTTAGCTTTTTGTTCCTGAAGATCTCACCCAAAAACTATTTCATGCCCTGAATCCTTTTTGTAGTGCTTTGCTGTGCCTGTCATATCCAGCTTGTCACATACTGCAACCTCCTTATACACATCTGCCCTCTACATTGTGTCCTCCTTTTTAAACATCTTTGTGTGTGCCAGGGGCCTAGAACAATGCTCTCCACATATGAGAAGCTCAATGAATGTGTTTTTATGGATAATGAAATGGTAAATACACTTATATATTTTTCTAAGATAATTCACAAAGTTTGTCATAATATCTTTACTATTAAGATAAAAAATTGTGAACTAGATGCAGGTAAGTACATTTATCCTTAAAACTCCAAACTTAAATCACATGGGTAAACGAACTCATGTTAAACTTGAAGAAAACCTTTGGTGGCATTCCATATTCAACATTTTTATTGGCTTAAGTGAATATAGAGAAAGAAGCCTCATTAAACTGACAGATGACATAAAGTTGGAAGGAATTGCTAATAAAGTGAATACGGGGCTCAAAAAGATCTGGATGAACCAGACGGATGAGCCAAAATCAGCAAGATGAAATTTAACAGGGAAAATGTAAAACCCTGAATTCAGGTTAGAGTAATCCACATGACATGCATTACAAAGGGAAGACCTGGTTTCATAGGAGGTGGGGGGGAAGGGAGCAGGAAGAGAAGGGGAGGGGGAGTAGTCTTTGTGAAAAGCTGGAAACAATGTAATTGCTAATTAATAAGGAAATAGTTAACTTATGGCTCATTCTACGGAATATCGTACATCTCTTAAAAAGAGCAAGTTAGATCTATACATACTGATCTGGAAAGATTTCCAAGGCATATTACCAAATGAGAAATTATCACGGAAAAAATTACACAAGAAATGCAAATCAAAATGGTTATGTATGCTCGTGTGTATATATATATAAGTACCTGCAATTGCATAGAAGAAAGACTGGAAGGATATACATCAAGATGTTAATACTGAACTTCTGAGCAGGGCTGTGAAATGAGACTTTCACTTTTGATTTTATGTACTTCTTTATTTAATTTTAAATGTAAATATATTTACATATTAATTCTATAATAACGTAAGTCACATTGGTGGCCTTTTAACTGAAAATGAGGAAAGGTGAAGAGGCAGTTAAAAAGCTAACTCAAAGTGCCTTGGTAATAACGTCTGTCCAGAGCAGTCGCCCCACTGCTCGGCCATCCTGAAAAGCTGCACCTCGTGCTGGGCACCATCTCCCTTCTAAGAGGACACTGATGTATGGAAGTGCATCTGCTGCCTTGAGGGGGAGCCAGGAAACTCGGGGCACAGGTACCACTGCTTCACTGCCAGTGGTCAGAGAATGTATTTTATTCTTTCTTACCTGTCTGTACCTAGTAGGTAGGGAAACAGAAGTTGCTTAATATTGAATGAATGAATGAATGAATGGCCAAGCGGGGAATGTGGAGCCGTGGAGCTGGAGAATAAGTTTGATAATGAACTTGGATCTATTTTCAGCTATTTAAGGTTCTTAAGTGGAAAATATACTTACTTTGGGTCCACCAGAGGGCAGAACAGATGCTGGAGAGCAGATTCTATAAGCCGGCCGATTTCAGCACAACAGTAACGAAACCTCCTGGCGGCCCACGGGCCCCAGCCCCTCCTCTGGCCTCATCTCCCATTCTTCCTGTGACTCTGGGTGCTGGCCTTTCTCACTCACTGCACTGCTCTTCCCTAAGAGCTCCTTTTGGCTGGATTCCTTGTTCGCTTTTGGTCTCTTAGAAGAGAAGACTTCTCTGGCTCCCCTACACTAAATAGCAATTTTCTTTGCCCCCTGCACTTCCTAGCTCCCTTCTGTTGTTGAAGTTTTCTCATTGCGCTTGTCTGCAGCACACAGAATCCACAGCATCTGTTCTAGTCTGCCCCTCAACATGAAGGCAGAGATTTTATTTTGCTCACAGTTCTGCTGCCCAGTACTCCTGGCACTCAGTACTCAATAAATATTGGCTGAGTAAATGAAGAAAGATGTGCAGGAGTGGAATGGAGTGTCTCAAGCAGTGGAGACTGCCTCCTTAACCCTGTCAACGTTGGGGAAGATGGGTAGCCCTATGGTGTTGGCTACTATCTTCAGGAATTCAATGTACTAGGAGAATTCTAGACTCCACTCCACATCCTCAGTGTGGCAGGACCATTTCCACAGGTCTTCAAGCTTGACATGTCATCTCCCTGAGCTGCACCCTCCTGAGCCCTTCAGCAGGAATACTGTGCCCAGCAGGCCAGCTCCTTTGTGGTGCTGCTGGGAGGGTTAATGAGAACATATACATGGAGCGCTTGGTAACGTGCATGTAAGGTAGTTAGAGACCTAACCAGGTGAATCAAAGCTTTCTTCCTCACGCTGCTGATTTTCCTCTAACTACAGGGTAATACGGCTGTCATCACCTGACCTTGTTGTGCTGTGGTATTCCCTCAGTCACTCCTCTCCCGTCCTACATGGCTAATCTCTCCTCCTCCTCTAATGGACTTATCTCAGCCTTTGTGTAAATGTGCTTTTTTTTTCAAGCTTCCAGCTTATCAAGGTTTGCTTGAGTCATTCCTATCTAAAATATCATCCCTCATCTTTCCAGCTTGGGATGTATCTGATGGAAAACAGATGCCAATAATATTTTACTTAGTGCTTTTAAATAAACTATCATATTTGACTGCCGTTAGCCTTGGCAGGTATTCAGTGAGCCCATTTTAAGATGAGGAAACTGAGATCTGGAGAAATAAGTGAGCTCCTGTCTCCCCGCCACAGACCCCTCTCAGTGCCGTGCCTGCTGCTCTCGAGTTGCTCGTTTAGCTTAGTGAGAGCAGCGATGGGCAGCGTAGGCCCGGCCACCCTCTAGAGCACTATGTTTGTCCTGAGTCAGCCCTGACCCACTCACACCAATTGTGACCCACTTTTTGACAGCTGCACCTCTACGGAAGAGTTGTCTGAGATCCTGATTCTCAGTTTCTCAATAAACCGCGTACAAGGTGGAATTAGCAGCTGGGACGTGCCTGCTACCTCGTGAACTCCCAGAGGTCACGTCCACGGGTGCTCAGCCAGCGCTGGAGGCTCTCCGCAGGCTGGCCCACATCAGCCGTGGACCCGACACAGCCAAGTGGACAGAGTCCTTTGGGGGAATCTTTAACAACAACAAAAGAAGAGCTTTTTCTTACCTGGTACAAACTGTAAATTGATGAATCGAGATATATATTAAGGACGACCATTTTCAGAGTTTAGGCTCTAATTTTCGGGTGTGTGGCCAGACCTCTCTATAAGTTCTTAAAAGTGGTCATTAGTAGTCTGTAATTAGTTTGACCCAGTCTTTTAATGCCTTGAGAATAACAATCTCCATAGCTTGTAGGAGTGAACACAGCGATGTGAAAGTTGCGTGCTGTTTAACAGGCCATGTGCAGAGCACTCTGGAAGGGAGCCGGGGACTATCTCTTATCCTTTTTCTATCAACTGGATGAAAGCTGACTGGTTTTTGTCCTTTTAAATCCATAAAAATACTCACAATTATTGATGTGTAAGATGCTTTGAAGTCCTTAGATGGAAGGCTCATCCTATCAAAAGGACAGAGCCATTGTTGGCTGTCGTGGGGACAGTGCCTGAGGGACAGGCAGGCCCGCAGGTGGCAGCAGACACTCATACATACAGGGACAGGATGGCCTGTTGGGTTTATTTCCCATGGAAGTGGGCACCAAAGAATAAAAAGGAGTTTCATAAGACAGCTTTGGTTACATACAAATATACAGGAAGAAAATCCCATAGAAAAAGACACCTCATAGAATTTTTCTCATGCCTCAGCCAACCCTCACCATGAATAACATTTTAAAGTGTCAGCTTCCATGATTCTTCTAGGAGCCAAACTGGCCATGTGAAGCCAACTCAGCATTCTCCAAGCTACAAATCCAGTCCATACACCATACTATGCAAGTGTCCATCGAAAACCTGGGAGAGGTGAGCATGGGGTTGGACAGAAAAAAACCTTTCTTTTTCTCTTACCAGTCAATCTTTCCAGTGACAGAAGCTCTTCTGTAACTGGGGCAAAAGACTCCCAGAATGGTGGACAGACACCCTGGTAACTTACCTCTTTGGTGTTATGAAACATAAAATATTAACATACTTATACAAAACTGGCTACAGATGAAATTAAAATCTGCTATTCTATTAAAAACTGCAATAGATTTTAAATAACTTATATTTTTAATATTTAAATGACATTTGAGACATTACAAAATTATTTTAGTTACAAGCATGTAATTAAAGCTATTATTTGGTATTACACAGCGTTTTTATAACGCTATTCCTGGCAACACGAAAATGTTTACACTCATTGAAGTATGTTGAATACCATTTGTTGGAAACCATATCAGGCATAATGATAATATTAGGGTTCAATTTGTTCTATAGAACTGCTAAACATTTATCTAAACCCTAGTTTCTATTTTTTTTAAAATGTCTATTAATTCTATTTTCACTTAAAAAACTCAATGTTGAAGAGGGAAACAAACTTTCGAAGCAGACAAAACTCATTTTTAATCATCAGAATGTAGAGTCTAGTCTTTCCATCTGTTCTTTAAAAATAGTACCACCCCCCCCCCCCAATTTGTTCTGCACCATGATGTGTACTGTGGCAATAAAAGGTCCCAGGTAGCCTCTTTACATCAGCGTTCCTCGCGTTTACCACAGTGATGGAGAAGGCACACACTGTGAAGGGAGGGAGGGCGTCTGGAGCCAGACTGCTGTTGGCAGTTGGTGGTGGTACCTCCAGTCTGTATTTCTTATGCAAAATTAGACCTAGATTTATAAAATGAGGCCATTTGCTATCTAAGCCATCACTAAGAACTTGTAGTTTGTTGCCCTTGAGGGAGGCTAAAATGTTTTTATGTACTACATACCACTATTAGCATAGTGGACAGCCTCTCAGTGGCACTGCAGATTATGCATAACTCTAAGGCCATATTTTAAATTAAATGATAGTACCTAATTAGACACCATTTACATATCACAATCAGAGCCTTCGAAATAGGAGAGACATATAATAGTTTTCAGAACATCTTGTAGATTAAAAGAAATGTCTTATTTTAAAGTTTTCACTTAAAAAAAGTATAACAGTTTGAAGCATTAACCTTGTCCATCGTTAAGAGACTAAAACTTCCAAAGCAAATAAAAGAACCAAGATTCTCTATGTTTACTTTTAATTCAGGAAAAACGACAAAGGGAACCCTAAGAGGAGCAACTGGACCTTCTTAGTGTTCCCTTTGGGACCTGGCATTTCTCTCCCTTCCTCAAAGAAAGAAATAAACGCCGATATCTTCTGTTAAAATATGAAAGTACCTAACACATATAACCCCTGCCAACACCGGGTTCCATTGAAACTAATTTTAGTAAAAATCAATACAGGCACAGAATTAGCCTCTGCTTTGAAGCTTTGGGAGAGTGCAGCTTCGTCGGAGGCGTGTGGAATTTCATGTGAATCTACAGTAGTTTCCAAGGGTTGCACTTAAGACAAGAACTTTTATGAGGAATGCTGGTGACTGTGCTTTGGCCGATAAGCACAGGCGCCTCATCCTTTCATGCTCTCTCTTATCTGATAGCTCAGTAATGTGTTAAACTGGTTTTTTTGACTTTCCAGAACAATATCTAATTAGCAAATAACACAATTCAGTGACATTTAGCAGTATGCAAATTCCAGACACTGCTATCATGAAAACCGTAAAGACAGTCTTTTCTGTGGGCCTGGAAACGAAGCAGTCCACTGTATTGGGACAAGGCCACGCGTTACACTTCACCAAACGCTGCATGGCGAACCCGTCATACATGACATAGAAGACATACATGAAGACAGCCTCAAAGATGACCCGGAAGAAGATGCTGCTGGTGTATGTCCACCACAGTGACCCTTCGATACGGACCTTCTGGCTTTTGATCTCTTCGATGTCTTTAAATTCACTCTTTATCTCTCCTTTAATGAACTTCCTCTTCTTTTCATGTCTCCGGTAGGCAACATGCATGGCCACCAAGAGAGCTGGCGTGGACACGAAGATCAGCTGAAGAGCCCACAGTCGGATGTGAGAGATGGGGAAATAGTGATCGTAGCAGACATTTTTGCACCCTGGCTGTAAAGTGTTGCAGACAAAATCGGCTTGCTCATCTCCCCACACTTCCTTTGCAGCTACAACAAGGATCATAATTCGGAAAATGAAAAGGACAGTGAGCCAGATTTTCCCAATACTGGTGGAGTGTTTATTGACACCCCCCAGAATAGTCTGCAATGTGCTCCAATCCATCTTCTCCTCTGGGCAGTGTGCACTGGAAAAGACAAGATGAACACAGGACAGAGGTGAGTAGTCGGGACAGAACCTGGGATGGCTCTCTGGGTCTCAGGTAAGTAAGCACTCTTCCTGAGTAAATACCAGCTCTTACACAACCTCACTAAAAAAGGTGAAAACAAAACCGACTTAGTTTGCCATAGGATTCAATGTATAGTTTCCAAACCACCTTGGACATGTTTCACGTGCTCTCTAACAAACAGCAGCTCATTCACCTGAGTAATTCACCCAATCTTCAGCACATAATAAAAATTTGGGGGAGGGGAGAAAGCACCACTAGCAGGAGAAGTCACTAACTTTAAGTTAGTGGGTTAACTAATAGTGCTGATGGAACTGTCCATAGACACCCCCTGGGTCTTCCCGGCCCGCACAAGTCCCTCAGCGCTCGAGCAGCATTCCACAGCCGCATCGGCTCGCCAGCCTCAAGCTCTGGACAGTACCGCTGGGCCTGACACCACTGGACTTCACCAGCAGGACCCACCCTGCCTTGGAGGCCAAGTCTCCCTGCAGAGCCACCTTCTCTAATATACTTCAATGAATTTTCATGGACTTGGGATGTGGCAGTGAAACGACTGTTACCAATGGTGGAGTTTACATTCGAGGCACCCCAAGTTAAAATTTCACAAAGGGCCCGACTCCCATTTTCTGTATCAAAAGGAGCATGTTGGAAATGGTCTCTCCAGGAAGAAAAGCCACCACGCAGGTGGATTTTTGCGTCCATTTTGTGTGTGGATTGGCGGTCCTCACTGTCACGCTGCCACTGATGCCTCGGCTGTACTCAGGGATATCTGTTTTGAAAAGTGTTGCAACTATGCATTTTTATTGTGGGCTATGGTTTTAATTTAGAAGTGTCTCTAAAGAGGCAAATTATGAAAAATGACAGAAAATTAACTCAGTGAGTCCCCAGTAACTGGCCCTACAAGGTGACGTCACTGTATTGAAGTTGAGAACCAAAGCTCGCTGGGGTAGTGTGCTACCTTCTCAAGAGGGATTTGGAGAAGCCATGGCTCAGTCTTCCGGGAGCCAGTGGTCTTTTCTCCATCCCAGGATAAGAACTGTGCTCACTTATCCATTGTTACACCCTGTCTGTCTCAATCAACCCCTCTCCTAGACAAGATCCCACCTCTCTAAAATCCTGATGGGTAATCTGTTTTCCGCCCCTTCTAAGCTGTCACCAAATTCTCTCTCTCTTACTTAAAAGCATAATGTTCTCCTCATTTGGAGCAAGTTGGGCCCTGTTTCCTGATGGACTTCCTAAATAGGCTCGGAATGAATGTCTTTCGTCACTGCCCAAGATGACGAGATGCCAAGATGACTGTGGGGCCCCAAGGTCTGGCTGAAAGCGTCCTGTGCCTCTTTGGTCAGAGGAGGCAGGAGAGACATGGAGAAGAGTCATGGAAATGAAAGGTACGTAAGATTGAAATATGCTCAGAAACCTTTAGCCCTACTCAGCTGGAAAAAGAGAAACACAATTAGAAAAACCAGTGGCTTCGTCCAGGTTCTGCTGTGACCCTTGACTGACTGATTGATTTGCTGAGGGAGACTGGCCCTGAGCTAACATCTGCGCCCATCTTCCTCTCTTCTGTGTGTGGATCGCTGCCTCAGCGTGGCGGCCCACCAATGGTGTAGATCCGGAACCGGGAACCCAGCTGGCCGCAGAAGCAGAGCCCGCTGAACTCAAACACTAGGCCACTGGGCAGGCCCCTAGTCCTGACCCCTGCAATACAGACTGTCTGGGAGGTCTCTAGGTGTAGCAAAGGGCGAGCTGCCAGAGGCTCCACACCTCAGTCTAGTCCTGCCCTAACAGCAGGACCAAAACTCCTATTTTAACCATCTTAGGAAATTAGACGCCCCAGTTCTTCCCTGGCACTTACTAAGTGGAGAACAGGACACTCACTGAACTAAACTGTCCATGGTTTATAGCAACACATTTGGCTAAAAATCGAGGCCTGGGGCTTGTGCCTTGCCCTCTTGCATAGCACCAAACACAGACCCCACACTCTTCTATAAACCAGCCCAATCACCATCAGTTGAGAAAAATACAGCTTGAAGTAAACCCTATGTTATTATTTTTTAAAGCTCTTGGTTGGGTTGCATATACCTGTTCTAAAGATCTTTTCAGGAAGAGGAGCAAATTAAAATTGGATCCCAAAATGGGATATGGGTAGTAGGTCAAGATGGACTAACCAAGCAGGATGAAATTGTTCTCAATGTTCCATCAGCAGGGAGCTGCCCTCCTGCCCTTCCTGACCTGGCAGGTGGGTCCCAGGCAGGCTCCTACCTGGCCAACGCGCCCTGCAATTGTTTGGAGTGCTGCCAGAGGCAAGTGGAGGAGCTGGTTCTGTTCCTTAGGGAAGGCACTGGGTGAATCACCAGGTTCCAGAAAAGCCGAAGCGAATTCTTTACCCCTGAACTCTTCTCAATCCTTACTTTTTTGATGGTTGATCTCGACTAGCTGTCTCCACAGAGAGCCCCCACCCCTCTCCAGGAGTCTGTAATTGTGACCGACGGCACACTAGTTTTGGAACAGACTCAAAGGGCAAATGGGGACATGACTGTCGCCACACATCTCAAGACAGAGTCCCAAGGAAATGATCGCAGGTGTTCAGCTATCAGAAGCTGGAGGACGCACGCCGTGTGGGCTGACTTCCCGCCTCCAGGGAGCAACACCGAAGGGCGAGGCAACTGTCCTCAAGAACGCGTCTCTCAGCTGTGCACTGACCCACTTGTAGACAAGTGCCTAACAGCTGGAAAACAGCGCCTGGAAGCAAACGTTCCTGAATTGTGTAGGCAAAAGAGAAGCAACCCAAGCCTCGACTCGGTGCCCCCGCGCAGGAGCGGGCGTTCCCGCTCACCCGCCCGCCGCGGGCCGGGGCTCGTCCCCGCGAAGGCGGCGCGGGGGGCGAGGGTCAGTTTCCTCCAGGGAAAGCTGCCGGCTCAGCAAACTCAATCGAGTTTTCCCCCCAAGCTAAGCCTTCGACCAATCAAAAACTTTCAGAGGCGGCAGATAAAGTACCCCGGCGGCTGTGCGAGCACTTCCCCGCAGGAATACCACCGACGACCACACAGTCACGTGGCGGTCGAACTGTCCCGGCTTCCTCCCCGCCCCCGCGCCCGGCGACCAACCCTGGGGGGCGGTGGCCGCGTCCCCTTCCCCAGCCGGAACAGCCCGATTCCAAGTTCAGAACTCGGCCCAAGAAACCCTCTTTCCAAAAGTCCGCTCTCGCCACCTGCCCTCCACCCCAGGTCCGCTGTCGCGACAGCCCGGGACAGGGCGGGCGCCGGGGCCTCGGTGCGCGCCGGGTCCAGCCTGGGGCCCGGGTTCCCCGGCCGTCCCGGGGCGCCGAGAATCGGGCGCTGGCCTCTCCGCTCCGACCGGGGCGCCCCGGCGGGCGGCCTCACCTGCGTCGGCGGGAGCGAGCGGCGGGGCTGGGGCCGGGGGCCGGGGGCGCGGGGGGCGCGGGAGTGGCGGGGACACTCCGCCGGGCCGGCTGCTGCTGGCCGGGCCTCTGTGGCGCTCGCTGCGGGCCGGGCGCCGCCGGCTGGCTGGGAGTCGGGACGAGCGCAGCGCGCCGGTCGCGTCCTGGGCACCTGTGCTCGCCGGCCGCGCCTTTTAACCGCACCCCACACCCCGCCCCCTCCCCGCGGCCGTGCAGATCGCCGCCGGGGGCGGCTCCTCGCCGCCGGGCCGGCCCCGGGGCTGCGGGCGGGGCGCGCCGGGCCTCCCGGTACCCCGAGCGCCCCTCGAGGCCCTGGAGAGCCGGGACCCCCAGTACCCCAGCCCCCGAGCGCGCCTACCGCTCCCGCCCCCCAGCCCCTCGGCGGCCCGGGGTCCGAGCGGGGAGGGCCTGAGCCCGGTGACCTAAGATCACGCGCAGCCCTAGGCCTCGGCTCCCTGCGTTTTGGGGAGTGAGGGGGGATAAAAGATCATTGTTCCTGTTATTGTTATTTCTACTTAGACTAGTTCAAGAGTACTATTGTATTTAAAGCTCTCCTTTAATTTGAAAAACAGGCGTTCCCAACGGTTTGAAGATTTAAGTTGAGGCCGCGGAGGTTCCAGGCCCCGGCCGCGCTCTCCGCTGTAGCGCGGACGCGCAGAGGCGGTTCCCTCCTTAGGATGTGGGTTCAGAGCGGGCGAGGAGGTGGCGCCACCAGTGCTGGACAAGCCCCCAATTCTTTCTCTCCCCCAAATCTCACAGGCAAACTTCGCAAACGCCGCCTTGAATTCCCTAATTGATTCGATCACTTTGGACAATATGCCAAGAGCAGGGGGCGGGGGCGGTGGGAGTGGGGGGACACAAGTCTGGCTTTTGCCAAGGCTGGCGCGCGCGTGTGTCTCCGTGGGCCTGAACGTCTAGCCACCTGCGCCCCAGCGGAGACTGTTTCCCCTGGGCCCAGATCACTTCTTCCTCCTTCCACAGGCGAGAAATCGCAGGAAAATCGCAAGGAATCGTGTCCACCGACCCTTCTTTCCCCTGCACACGCACACGAAGGGGGAGCACTGATGCGATTTCTGAAGATCCCTGAGCAGCTCGGCTCTTCTCCCGGAAGCCTGTGCTTGGAGTGTGAGGGCTCATTGTTCACGTTTGGTTGGGTATTTTGATGTCTTGAGATGCAGGTGACAGGAAATGGATATTCACAAAGCAAGTGGTAGTGATGCGGGGTCGGTGAGCCGAGGAGTCGAAAGAAAGATTTCTTAGACTCTCAAGATCTGGCAGTAGTGCTCTTTTATTTAGAGAATAGTGTGGAATAGCATGGGGACAGGACCCATGGGCAGGCAGAGCTCCTGCTGCTGCCCTGAGTTGAGGGTTAGGGCTAATTTTATAAGGCATGGGTACGTGACTTATTTTTACTGGAAAAAAAGAAAAAGAAAAAGATGATGTAAAAAGTCATTAAATGATTTCAGTGCAGATGGGGTCTGGTTATTGTGCGGTCATATAACTTTAGATACAAATCTGGCCATATAGATCGGCAGGTAGGTGAGGATGCCCTGGGCTTCGTTCCCTGGGGCGGTCCTAATTCATACCATAAAAAAAGTCCACTGGGTCGTATAGTTTGGCATGTAGGCCAGGTCACCTTGGGCTTCTCTAGCTGGGGCAGCCTTAATCCACATCAGTAGGAGAATTAAAATGGCAAGAGCAGGCCACTTTGGGGCATTGCGTCCAGCCTTCGTGGCTGTCACCTGCTCAGGTACCTTGCTTCATGATTCCCGCAGAAAGCCAGCGTGGAGGTGCAGGCGTGCTCGCTCTCACGCTCGACTATGCTTAGGTCAGGTTTATGTTAAGCAAAGATGATGATTCATCTTGGCAGGGCAGATGTGGCCGCAGAAGTGGATTTCCCATGATTGCCACCATTAGCGTGAAGGTATTGACTTTTCCTTGTAAAACTAGCGCCATCGCCATGGGCCAACTCAGGCCGTTCTTGTACGGGCGAACAGGAGTTTTGTCCCGCGGTTGCTGCCCCACCTTCCAGCTCTAAGTCTTAGTCTGTGAGGGAGTGTCTGTTCATGCAGAGACGAAGCCCCAAGGGCTGCCAGAAGCCCCACACGGCCAGCTGAGAGATGTGCTGAATCGGCTGGTTAGAAATTACAGGGCAAACCCGGGTGGGTGGAGGCGCCTCCCGGGTCTGAGAACACTGCAGGGGGGAGGGGGGAGGTGACGGGGCGGGCGGGCTGGGGGAACCTAGCTGTCAGGGCCTGGGGGGCTCCTCCTTTTAGCTTTTTCGGCGGCAGCGCTGTTTAGTCCGCTAGAGTCCTGGCTGGGTTGGAACGAAGGAAGCGTCTAGAACCGTTGTGGGAAGATGGCTGGTAAAGATGGTTTGGAGGGTGGAGGTTGACTCACTTTCCCCCACTAAAAGATTTCCCCTTGGGTTTTAGTGGCTATGTCATGATTACAGGGAGCTGTTCAACTTCCTTTTCCTTGTTTCCCCTGACTTGTTCTCCTGATTTGCCTAATTAGTGTGTGTTGTTGGCTGAATGTACATCACAGCCACTGGGTATTTGAGGATATATAGTTAGACCTCCTACGGCTCTTAAGTCTTAACTTACAGTTCAGCACTTGATTTTATTCTGTTTTGTATGGTTTCTGTTGTGTTTCTGTGTGTTGGTGTTTTCTTCCTAACCAGACTTGGATTCCTCTTGGGCAGGGAATCTTATGTTTGTATTTTTGTGTCCTTCAGAGAAGCGGAGAGAGAAGATGAACGAAGGGTGTCGAGTCTGGATATCTGAAGTTATTGCCACACGTGCCTGCTGCTTGATGGGCACTTTTGTCTCGTTAACTTGTAGGCACTGAACAAGATAGAGACTAGTTTTTGACGTGGTTTTATGGGAAGAACTCTGGTGTCTCTGGATTGGTCTTGGATGAAGCTAATCGGAGGACAGGCAATGCCCAGGGAAGATGGAGCACTTCCCGGTGACTCCTCGTGCTTAGCCAGTGAGGGTGTGCTGCAGCCACACCTGGTCACTTCAGAGTGTCAGACAGACGGGTGACTAATACTTTTACATACCTACTTAGTAGCAAGCAGGCAAATCCCAGGTGTTTATAATTGAGCTGAACTTTTATGCAGATGTTTAAAGTGATGCAGTTGTCAGGTTATAAGGTGAAATGCTAATGTGTAAAGTTATTTGGCATTTTAATTTGACAGTCGTTTTATAAATAAACCAAAAAGAAAGAAGTTGCTATTGTGCAAGAAATCAGTGTGAGACAAACAGTATTTCTTAATATATTATAATGAATGAATGCTTGCCAGCTGCCTAATGGGGTGGCCTCTTGATTCCCCCTGGGAAGGATGCTCTGAATGTACATAACAAATACCTCAGTTAAATCTCTGACTCATGCATCATATGAAGGTGATAGCAGAAAATGTCTCAAGACAAGAAGACACATATTCTTTATGTATTTAAACCACCCGATGGAGGATGGCGAGAGACCCTTCCTGACACCTTGAAGTTTTAGAACAAGTTAGATCCATTGAATAATTCTTAGCTATTAGTTATTAGAGGCATTAGATATTGGCTTTCACCCACTTTCTTGGCTTTGCTGTTGAAATATTAGTCATATTAATAATAGGAAAAAAAAAAGAGAAAGTTCAGCTCTCCTCAAAACTGGAAACTGAAGCAGTTGGAAACTGAAGTCTGACGAGCCGGTGGCACCTCTGGGTAACTAACGACGACTTGTATCTGATAACACAATTTTAAAGCAGGAGTGGCCCTGGTGTGATCCTTTTTAATTTTTGTGGATAATTATTACAGGAGACAACCATTTCACTACGATTTCTCTCTGCGTCATTGACCCTCACGTCTCCTGAAAATTGTTAACGTCAAATCATTTAGGGGAAAAAAATCAATTGTGACATTCAAGGAGTAAAAACAAATCTCAGAGTTCAATAATTGAATTGTTCTTATCTCTGCTTTCAAATTAAAGACATCTCGTAAAAATTCCAGCTTTTGAGTTGTGGCTGAAACTGTTATAAGCCTTTCCATTTCCCTCATCCTATTCTTATATTCACACAGAAAATATTTTGGGGAGATTGGAGTTGCTGGATGTGTCTCAGTTGCAAGGCAGTGATAAAAGAAGTCCAATTCCTTGATTTACTGAGTGAGCACGTGTTCTTCCTCGCACAGACATCAGTGGAGCTCTTTTGTGGCTACTAAGCAGACTGGAGAAGTGACAAAGATACTTCCACATATGTTTGTATCAAAAGCACATGTTGGTCAAGATGATTTCACTCATATGTGGAATATGAACAAACACATGGACAAAGAAAACAGTTCAGTGGTTACCAGGGGAAGGGGGTGGGGGGTGGGCACAGGGGGTGAAGGGAGCACTTATGTGGTGACAGTCAAGAAATAATGTACAACTGAAACCTCACATGGATGTAAACTATTATGAACTCAATTTAAAAAAAAACCCAGGAAAACAAAAAAGCACATGTTGGTCAGAAATGACTTCAGAGCTATAACTCTCCTGGCTGACCTTCTAACGAATGGAACAATTAAATTCTGTAAGCCATGGTGGCTTGTCAAAATGGAAATTCTTCATCATTCACAAAGGAACGAAAGAGATTTCTAGGTTTTAGTTTGTGCTAGAGCCACATTGTGTTATACAGCATCTTGAAGAGCTTTTGGAATAAGTTAGGGTCCAGTAAACACTCAGAAGTTGCTTTAGTAAAAAATATATATATATAGACCTAGGTTTGACAAGGGACTATCGAGCGGATTCCCAGGTTATATTATATTTGATAGACTGCAGCAGCTTTAATGAAATGCTATTCTAGAATGTCCTGAATTTGAATTTGTCACTCTCTGGAAACCACTGACTATGTCGTCAGTTTGGCTTCTGAGGTCCCCGTCGGGTGGATTCTCTGACTTGGAAAGTGCCTCTTCAGAACTGGGTTTGTGTGTTAACTCTTCGTCTAACCTTCTGCTTAAATTGTGTCAGAGCTATTTCTACTTTGGGAGAAGAAGCTCATATTGGTGTGTAGAGCTCTTTGATTTAATCTCGTCCTTAAAAAAATCTCCGTGCCAGGAACAAAAGGCGCTCGCAATACCCAGAGGGTGCAGCAGAGGGCACTGGGAGGACTTGTCAGCAAGTCTGTAAAACGAGCGCACTTGGAAGAGTGGGAGAAAAATGGACAATCTTTTCTTCTAGCCTAGTGTTGCTTGTCCTGACCTAGTTAGTAGGTTTGGAAATAAATTTCTTTGTTCCTTTTTTTCAAAATGGAATAGAAAATATCAGAATGCATTGCTCTTATTAAGTAATGTTTTATGAAATGTTTGTTTTGTGTGTGTTTTCATATTCCTATATGTATTGGACCCAACGTAGAATGTACTTTTTGCTGTAGATCTCTATCACAAAAAGTTGGAAAGCCACTGTCCTATTCCACTTCCAGGGCAACAAGCCCGTCACTGTGGCT